CAGAGTGTCCCCCCTTATCGGCTAGCCTTAGTTTGGGGAGAGAGCGGTTGCAAACTGGGACAGAGGGCAGCAACAAGGAAGCCCCCCCCCAAGCGTTGGCTCATCGTCTTGCTGGCTGGCAGCCAAAGCAGGAAGCCGAGCTGACGGTACAGTTCCCGGGGTCACCTAAGAACACCTTTCTTTGGAAAAGCAGTGTGCCGACCCTGCCGGGCATCTGTTGGTTTGCCCTTCCTGGTTTGAATGGCAAATTGGGGCAAAGTAGAACGATAAGAGCCCTTGTTTTTCAAGGCTGGCCCGAGGCTCTTTCCACTTTAAAATAAATGATGGTTTGGCAACCTCCCTGCCTGGTTGCAGCTGGGAGAGCGGTGAAGTTGCCAGGTGGGTGAGTGCCCGCAAAAGGCCCGTGGGCATTTCAGCCTGGAGGGCGTCCTTCAGTCCTCTTAGGGTGCATGGCATGTACGTTTGTGGAGCAAGGCGCCAGGGTCATCTGAGCGGCCTCCCGTTGCATTGGCCAAGGCGTTGGGCCTGTCCACCTTGGATTTGACTGTTAGACAACCAGTATAAGGAATCTCACGGTCTGTGGTTTGCTGGGAAGTAGGCGCGAGCAGAGAGCGTTTGCTTTCAAACCCAGCTTAAGAGCTACTCCAGAGCAGGGTTGGCCAGGTGTGTTAAGCCAGGATGGTGCCCCCTTTCTCCAGAAGCAAACAAGATGAGCTGTGGACTTCCATCTGCAGTGACAGCAGGGCGGTGTTCTCCATTGCCCCCATAAGTATCAAGCTAGTTTAAGAGGTGGAGGAGAGACTGGGGTTGGCAGACCTAGTTAGTTTAGGAAGGAAAATGATCAGGGCTTGAGAAGAATCTCTCCATTCCTAGGCAGTTTCTTTTCCTAATGGTAGAGCTGGCCTTGCCTTGGAAGTAAGACTTTGGGTTGGGTGGGCCGGCTCTACTATTAGGCAATGAAGCAGATATTTTTATCTGTAAATAAAAACTGCCATGTTAAAAAGTGGGGGGTTAAACCACTTTAATTAACCATTAGGTTGGCAAATCGGATCTAGGGCCATTGAATTTGAGATGTGAGAAGCTAAACCTGGCATCTTCTGCCTCGGGAACAAGAGCCTTGCTCTTTTATATTATTTATTTACTTTATCTCTTGCGTTTCTGCCCCTGGGCTGCTCAGGGCTCTAAAATAAAATATAAACAGTTAGAAATGATTTAAAGCTGCTACGACGACAACTAGTCCTGGTCAGAAAGCTTGCATGAAGAGCAGAGTCTCTTCTCAAAGTGAAAAAAACTTCCAGTTCATGCACATGGTTGGTCACTGTTGGGTCCATCTAATGTGCAGATGTTGAATGAGTGTGTTGACAATCCGGGGTCCTTAAGATGACATCGAGAAGTGACGGTAGAACAGAAGGGTTTCCAAGCCACCCTGTTTTCCAAAACCTTGTTGGAAATCAAGAAAAAAATCGAGATCCATTTTGAGAGCAAGGCCTAGATAGCTTTTGTTTGTTATTTTTCAAGAAGTTTCTGCACATGGAGAAGTTCACTAGCAGTGGCAGCTGTGATTAATTTCCATATGACACTTCCGGTTGGGTAAGTGCTAGGGTGACCAAGTGTAGTGCGAGGAAAAAATAAGACTAGGGGAAACTCTTGGCAGACAACTGTGGCCGAGAAGGCGGCCATGACTTCATTTATTTGCTGCACAATTATCTACCGTCACTTCATATCCACCCAATATATTGGATTACAACTCCCATCGTCCCACCCCCATCCACATGTCATCATACCTACAGCATACTGGGTGGGGAAAGCTTTCACCTCAGATCAGCAAACAGATCATCAAGATCTCTTCTGAGAGACCTTTTGGTTGCCTGGGGTTGAATCTGAGAACTTGTTCTTCTCGTGATGACCTTCCATGCCAAAGGTCTTCATTCAGAGTCCCGTGGTTGCTGGTAGCCTCTGATCATCTTCTTTGTTGTTCCAGGTGTTGCACCCAGTGAACAGCAATCTGTTCATAATATTTAATTTTAATTCCATGTAAGTGGTCTCATCCACAAAGGGATAAGACCTTTGAGTCTTCATGAATGGGGATGTAGTCTTCAGAAATGTGCTCAGGTGGCTGTGACCCACTTTTCATAACAGTTGAAGCTGATAGGGTAGATACGGCCTTTTCTAAGGAGAATTTCTGGCAACAGCGAGATGCAGTTTCCTATTATTCAAATCTCTCTCTTCAGTTTCCTAAAAAGCTCCCTTAGGATAAAAAATATGGCATGGGAAAAAGATAGCATTCAAATCCTTCCCCCTACCTTGCTGGCCTCCTACCAGGGATTGAGTTGTATTACTCAGTATGGAATGGTTGACCTAAGTCAGTGTTTCTCAACCTTGGCAACTTGAAGGCATGTGGACTTCAACTCCCAGAATTCCCCAGCCAGCCATTCCCCAGGGGAATTCTGAGAGTTGAAGTCCACTTATCTTCAAATTGCCAAGGTTTAGAAACACTGACTGAAGTGATGCAGTCTGGCAGAAGTATCTCTGTGTGGAGAGAGACTTCCTCATCTTTTGCTTGTCCTTACTTGAACAGTCGGCTGGGAGAGATGATCATGCTGACCCTGTAAAACCAAAGCTATTGTGAAGCTTCCCAGCTCATGAGTTATGTTCAGCTTTGAAAGCCTTGGCTGTGTGACTCATCTGGAAAGAACCCAAGGAGTCATAACTGTAATGAATGATTAATCAGTTGAAATGTTAGTAATGGGTAAGGAGGCTATGGAAATTTGTCTTACGGTCATAGGAGAAAAGCCAACTTGGCTGGACAGGAACTTGGGATATTCAGTCTGAAGAAAAGCAGACTTATAGGAAACGTGATAGCCATTTTCAGGTGCAGGTGGTCCCCAGTTGAAGAACGAATTCCTTTCCCAAGATTTGTCCTTAAGTCAAATTTGTATGTAGGCCAGAACAGTATTATTGTATAATACTGTATAAGTAGTATTGTGTTATGAACTTGAACCATTGTGTATTTAACTTGAATTTTGCTACAGTAGGATTTGTCCTTAAGTCAAATTTGTATGTAGGCCAGAACAGTATTATTGTATAATACTGTATAAGTAGTATTGTGTTATGAACTTGAACCATTGTGTATTTAACTTGAATTTTGCTACAGTAGGCTCCATTCTTAAATGTGGGTCGTCTGTAAACCGGGTGTTCTTAACCCAGGGACTACCTGTACATGAAGGGAGGCTCCAGGAAAGATGGAGAGAAACTATTTTCCATAGCCACAGAAACTGGGACCAGAAATGGTGTAAGTTGTAGATTCCTAGATTTCATTTAAAGATAAGAGAAAACCTCTTGATGATCTGCCCACCACTGGAAAGATCTACTTAGTGAGGTGGTGGCTTCTCCATCTCTGGAGGCTTTTCAGAAGAGGTGGGATAGCCACCTCTGGAAGATGGTTTAATTAGGTTTCCTGAAGATTGCAGAAGGTTGGAGGAGATGACCTTTGTGGTCTTTTCCAACTGTACAATTCTATGATTCAGTGATACGGAATATAGAAAAGATGTGTTCTTGCACTTTGATCTCAGTTGTATTTCATAAAAGATTGAAAATAGGTTCTCCCAGCTTGGCAACTTGATTCTGTTTTCAGCTTAGAGTTGATTTTGGGATCTTCAGAGAAGGAAGCTCCTGGTCTGCTGCTGGATGGCGCTCATTCCTAGGTCATTTCTCCTTCCACGGTCAAATTAATAACAGTCTGCTGTGATCTGCAGTGGTGTTTTGTTGCCATCATTTGTTTTAGAGTAGGTTCTCCCTTTTGAAAAATGGTCTTGACAGGTCAAGTAGGACATAAGAAGGGAATCCAGAGGGGAGAAACATGAATGAGAGAGGCAGAAGGGCAGTGGTGTTAGCTGGATGTTTGACAAAAAGTGGATCTTTGGGGACATCGCTCCTGGTTGGAAGGAGAACCTAGATGCTTCCAAGCAGTCAAGAACTTCTGAACGCCAGCATGCCCCCATTTCGAAAGATTTGTCCTTGCTCTCTTTCACACTTCAAATGTTCTTTTCTCTTTCAGCCATTGTACAACCAGCCTTCGGACACAAGGCAATACCATGAAAACATTAAAATGTAAGTAGCCAGCAGCGAAAAATCTCCCGTCTCTGTGCTTCACTACTCCTGTCTTTCAAAGGTCCACCCAAGGAGGACATTAAAGCCACAGTGGAAAGAAAGAAAATGTTTTTGCTTGCCTTACCTTGGTTCTCCTCTTCCCGTGAAGGGAGAAAGGAAGCGTGACATCTTTGGAGGCTTGAAGTGATGAGGTGCCTCAAGTGATTCATCCTTTGGAGATAACAGAGAGGGAGGGCAAGCATACAGGAAGGGATGAAGAGTTGCATTTTTATATGATGGAAGGAGAACTGGAAAAGATGAGAATTTGGTGTGTTCACAAAGGTACTTAAAATCATCTGGAGATCTTTGTTAGGTGTTCACTCCTAGGTTGGGAATGTAGATCACATCATACTAAGCTAGCGTTTGCTTAATAATTTTGGGTGGGTTTGCATAATACAAGTTGAATAAATTATTATGTGGCCCAGTTCTTTGTTGTGGTTCGGGTCTTTGTCTCTGCCAGCGGAGTGATGGTTGGAAATAGTTGGGAAGTAAGATGGAAAGATTCGGCACTACCGGCAATAGAGGAATGGTTGGTGAAGATGATGGAACTCACTGAGATGGCCAAATTGACTTCTTTGACCAGAGAAAAGACAATATCTAC